CTTGTAATCTGACCCATAGGACTTTGATCTGCCCTTCTTCTGTTCCCATCTTTATTACAGATGATTTATAATGTTCCCTAACGTATAGAACAATGTCCCCTGCTTTTTTCCATTGTTTTTCCTGTTCAGTCACCAAACCAAAACAAAAACAATTAACCTTCCTTTAAAAATAGTGTCACTAGGATGCTGAGACTAAAGTGTATCATGTTTAAGAAAGGGTCTGTTAGAACCACTACCAGTCAGGGGAGTTCCTTGCATAATAGTGTAATATAAGATTGCAGCAGGCTCCTTACTGGGCTATTCAGTTTGCAGCTTAAGAAGTATTTTCAGCATTGTATAAAGGTTGTATGTCATTCTAAGAAACCATCCCAGGTTCATAATTCTTCAATTAAGTGTTTCCTTTTCACCATTTTCTCCTTTTGTTTCCATTAGTCCTTCTTGGGGTGGCCTTGGGAATGTTCCTGGCACAGATCTCTATAAGAATGTCAAGGAATACAAAAATGTAAGAGTTGATCGGTTTGTTTGCGTTTTTTTAATAATGGCAGAAGTGCAGCTCCTAAAGGTAAAATGTCTAAGAATTAAACCCTCCATTTACATCCAAGTGGTTGGGCTATATCGCCTGCTGGGATATATAGTTTTTTCAGAGCTGAAACTCTGAATTAAAAATTAAAGGAGTTTGCTATCAGTTCACTTTGTTTATGAATTATATGACAGCTTGATTTTTTGCTGTCAAACTGATTCATCATTTGGCAACATTTAGATGCTGCTGCTTACTGGATAAATAAAATAATGCTTGATCCTGACATTTGACAGGTTGTTGAACCACAAGGTGTGAAGATTCTTCAATTTTCCAGTCCTATTTTTTATGCCAATATTGATGGATTGAAAAGCAGCCTCAAATCCACTGTAAGTAGTCTGTGAAGGTTTTGGATATTTCCTCATTTACAGGCTCTGGTTATGTCACAGCAGTTTACCTAGATCAAATGCAAATAAATTTAATACCTTGGTCCTGTTTTCTGTAGGTGGGTTTTGATGCAGTTAGGGTATACAACAAGAGACTCAAAGCACTAAGAAAGATACAGAAACTAATCAAGAAGGGGAAGTTGAAGGCAACTAAGGTAAAGTTCAATTTTTCATCTCTCTCTTTATTTCTTGCAAGATTGCTAATAGATCTAAAATTAGAGAAGCTAGCATTGCTGTGGTTCATGCCTATACCATGAAATCTTTTGTCTTTTATTTTAAAAATAAAAAGGGGATAGCTTTGACTGATCACTAAGATAGGAGATGGGACCTTACATAAGATTTGGCAAGCTGAGCAATTCATCTGTCAGCTATGCTTAGTACTAGGTTATGCCGCTGTAGCACAAATAATGTGTGGCTGTTGCCAAAAGGTGGTGGTGATCATCTAGATGACAGCAGGCTGGATTGCTTAGGATGTTCAAGAAGGGCTAGATGGGTGTAATTCTTATTGGACTATAATGCGAGCTTTAGGAAACTCAAACCTTTTTCCAGTTAGGGCCTGGCTGATGTAAATAGTTTCATGGTTGGTAGGGTCAGAAGGGACCTGAGCAGATCATCAAGTCCGACCCCCTGCCATGGCAGGAAAGAGTACTGGGGTCAAATGACCCTGGCAAGGTGTTCATCCAGCCTCCTCTTAAAGACCCCCAGGGTAGGAGCCAGCACCACTTCTCTGGGAAGTTGGTTCTAGATCCTAGCCGCCCTGACCATGAAGTAGCGCCTTCTGATGTCTAA